TTGGAATGGTTTGATCGAGTGGTCATCGATTTTAATAGTCTTGGTAGTCACATAAGGACCATATTCAATAACTTCCCATATATTATAATCTATTGATTGAATGTATATCATCATCCTAACTTTACAATAATTGTCATGTGTGCCATTAAAAAAAGAAAGATGGTTTGTAGAATGCCCCTCAAGATTCGAAGATTGTAGTTAGTCATTACTCAAGATTGTGTAATTTGAATTTTAAAAATGAGTACATCACTCTGATACCAATTGATAGCCCACGAATAGCTAACAAAGTAGGGGATGAGTTGGTTATTAACATTTTTACGAAGAATTAATATAAATTCAAGGAAGTTAAGGCTAAAAAAATAAAATCAAATAATAAGCACAAATGTAAATGCAATAAGTAAACGGGGGAGAGGATGCAAACAATATAATTATAGAGGTTCGGTCCAAAGCAATGATCTACGTCCTTCGTTATCAAGCTCTTCGACACAAGCTACCTTTTCACTTTATTGATTGACTTGTGGTGTAATCTAACCCTTTACAATACTTTCGGTGACTTACAAATAAGGAGCATCGATCCTTATACAATGTTGAGCTTTACGGGACCTCAACACGGCCACTATTGAGTTTTCACGGGACCTCAATATGACCAACATGGTGACTTATAACAAAGAGTAGCAATCCTTATACAATGTTGATCTTTAAGNAGAAATATGCTAACACTTTAATTTAAAGCAATGAATGAAGTTCAATTGTTAGGTGAGAAAAACTTTGATGAGTAGAATGATTTTCGAAAGTTAATTCAATCAAAAGTTTTTCAAAGTTAATGATTTGATAAAGATAAATCAATGTAGCTTTACTCAAGAATATTTCACATAAACACTCTTAAAAGTATTATATTGAGTGCAAAGTGAAGTGGTATTTACAGTAGTCAACACGTCAAAATTTATGACCAATCAGACTACCCATTCGGACGTTCGCTTACTAAATTGAACAACCAAACTAGTCATTGTGCGTCAATTCAGAACGGTTAAAAATTTGACATTTGGACGAACAAAACGTCCGCTAGGACAAAGTTTTTCCGAAGTTTTATTTTCTTGATTATTTTAAAAGGTTTCAAGATCGGTGATATTAGTAAAAGACTTTAAAAAATCAAGTGAAAATTTTATCTTTTTTAAAATAATTTTTATGTGAGCTTTTTTATGAATAATTTATTTCGTGCGTAAAAATTTAACTTTTGAGCTTTTATTAATTCATTATTAAGGATTAAAGCATTTTACCCTTACATATGGATTTAAAGCATCTAAGTTTAATATCTTTAATAAATGCTTGATTCTTCGTGAATGATTCGATTGATTTGACGTGATTGCTAGCTTCCATCTCTATTTTGTTTGATCGTAAATTGCAAGTCTTTTGATAGCAATCATTTTGTCTTCCGTTGATCAATTTGGCCATACTAGCTATGAAGACTTGAATTAGATAAAACAATTTATTTGTTATAATTAAAACATGAGATCAATCATGAGGCCATTTTCCTCCTTTCCCTTCAAACCACTTGATTTCGTCCCAAAATTCCCTAACAAATCATTAACAGAACTCCTTCCTTTTGACACTGACCACAAGAAGTTATCATGCCCATTGGAACCAAATGAATTCTTGCAATTTGAAGAATTACTTGAACTCAAACACGGAATCCAAGTCAATACCCCCAAATTGATTTGTACTCGAAAAGGGCCCATTGGAAATAGCATCATTATCAAAATAATTATGGATTTTCGATTGCTGATATTAACATTGGATTTGAAAATCCATCAAGATCATCAACAATAAAAAAAATCATTAGATGTCGTTGAATGGGTGCCCATCCTTTGAGGGAATCCGTTGCTACTGCTGAAATTGGATTTCGATCTCAATTTGGCCATGGGAGCTGATTTTCCTTGGGCTTTGAACCCAATACTCTCAACCAAAACTCCAAATTCATCCATTCTTCAACTGGGTTGGTGATATTACTATCAAAAACCTATGAAAAGAAGATGGAAAAATTACATAATTCAAGTGTTTGAAGATTGGAATTCAAAAATTAGGGATCAAGTTTCATTATTCAAAAATCAGGTAATATATTAAAACCCTAACCTTAATTTATCACTCTCAACTCCCTCACCTCTCTCTCTTTCTCCCACCTCCTCTCTCCTCCCCTTCCCTCTCTCTGTAAATCTCCCATCTACCCACCGTCGACCAACGCCCACCGTCGACCACCGCGCACTGTTGAAGACCACCACCCACATCAACAATCCACTACTGAACTCACGGCTATTATCGAGGCAGAATCGCAGCAGCCCGATCTGAAATTTTCTCCTTCAAGACCACCATTTGGAGCACTGTTGGGTGGTGGCTCCTTGCTGCTGTGACGCTACCATGAGACGTTTTCACAGCAGCATCGCGATGGGTGCGATGGGTGCTATGGGTTTGTGTGTTGTGGTGTGTGTGTGTAGTGGCAGAGTGGAGTTGTGGTGGTGGTGGCGTTGCGATGGGTGGGAATGTGGTGGCGGTGATGGGTTTGGGTTTTTTTGTTGGGTGGTGGTTGTGGTGTGACGTGGTTTTTTTGTTGGGTGGTATTGTGGGTGCAGTGGTGATGACGGCGTGGTGCAATGGTAGTATGTGGTGGGTTCGAATCTGGTGGGTGGTGGTCGTGATAGTGTGTGGTTGGATGCCTGGTGATGTTGGTGGCCGTGGTGGTGACGGGGTTGGGGGGTGAGGGTGGTCAAAAGTGGATGAAGTAGTAGTATCATTGGTATGTGACCA